CCCCCGCGACCCGGCCTCGGATAAAGCGGATGAAGATGGATGGATGGATGGATGGATGGATGGATAGTATCAAAAAAGATCAAAGGAAATCCTTTTCAAAAATCCAATTAAAACTTTGAGCGAAAACCTTTAAACACTCTGGCACAGAGACGATTTTCATGGACCGGTTTTCAGTTTGTGTTATACGTATAAGTCATTTCTGCCTAAGGGGGTGATGTTGTTTACTACCAATGGTGTACTTAACCTTTCCCACAAAATACACTGATACTCATCCAGACACGTTCAACAAGCTGGCAGTTTCACTTACCATGACGTCATCACTAAATATAGTTATTATTGTGTTTTTTGTAATGGTAGACAAAGTGTTTGTGGTTTGGTAATAGAGCAGCAGCTATTGGGCAATGCTAAGAAAATGCAAAAACACACCCAAGATAGAGCAATACTTAATAGTTTTTTTTGTATTCATATGCAGGACTCACATGCACAACAGTGTGTCAGTGCTGTAGATGTTACACTTTTCTGCTGGTGAGCACTTGTTATTACACAATGAACCATCTGAATACACCAACAATGGCAGTGAAGAAGAAGAAGGCCACATTCATGCTTATTCAGTTATCACTGTCGGGCCTTGCTGGACGTGTAACCTCTAACGCATCTTAATTGTTGCAAACAAACTAGACTCAAAACTGGATGTTGTTCCCGGTTAAGCACTACATTTGAACAGGTTCAGTAGATGATTTCATTTTGATGTCATCCTGTAGAGATATTTCCTAAAACAGTTATACATAATGTAAAAATATGTTTTGACAGTTTGTCATTACTTAAACCTCATATGTAAAAACAATTTACTCAGTCTTGCTAAAGAAAAAGTAAAGCTCTGTATGTGTGCAACTAAAGAAACTTGTTTCGAGTCTGTGTTGAAATCATATTCGATCAGGTCATATGTATATAAGAAAAATGTCCTGCCCATAGTTTGAACTGTACATGAGGATTGATTTGATTCAGAAATCAGTTTAAGGGTCAGGATACACTTCGTGGTCATGAAGCGTATGCATGTGCTGTTGTAGACAGGATCTGTCTCTGACATGTGTAGTGTAGAGACATCCTGATTCGTGTGTAGGTTGCGGGGAAATTTCGGCACATAATTGATTTGTCACTTTATTACAAAACTGATACAGCAGTGGTCTGTGTGTGGGTGAACAAGCAGGTAAACCCGCAGTGTGTGCGTGTGTAAGTGAGTTCATTGTGGAAAGCGTAGTGACAGTTTCCGCACAGTTTTGGTGAAAGTGTCTGATTTCAGTTTGGTTGTCCTACTAGACTATATATTGTACGTTTTTATTACAATTGTAATAATTTTAAAGATTTTAATCCAATCTTGTCTATAAGTCTATGAATGATCAGGTTATCTACAGTTTAACTACATTATACATGTTTTAGGGTTTACATCATTTCATCTTGTTCAGTCCGTAGCTGGTTTCCTTTTTGTTTTTGAGTTTTTGAT